TCTATATTGACGACACCAAGAAGAATAATAAATTTGGCAACGCCAGAGTAGGTAGTTTTTTCTCAATAACAAGAGCACTTAGCATAATTAATATAATATGTGTGGATATTCATTTATCTCATTATTTGCTATTATCCCATTATCTCACAGTATCTCCAACTTCTCTAGTCATTAATGTAATATCTAATTTGAGAGTTAATATCGGTTTTATATGTAAGGTGTATTTCACATGTTATCAATTTTTTTTCAAATTAATCTTATTGATATTCCTGTAACAATAATCAAGTAAGAAAGGGAGGAAGGAAATTAAGAAATATGATTAGAATATTTTAGAGGAAAAATATATTATATTAACTAATGAAATTAACATTCTTAATGTAATCAAATTAGTTAATTAGATCTTACATTAAGGATAAAAGGGATATTTATATAAAAAAAAGGATAAAAGGGATATAATCATAGAATCTTTAGATTTTGTTAAAGTTGTAAAATTATACCTACAAATAAGGACATTTATCATATTCTTGGTGCCTTGTAAATGAATACAAAGTATTCTCTTTTGTTTCTCTTCTCTCCAATTTTCTACTCATCTCTACAATTCTTTCACTCTCTTGTTGAACATCTTATATGTTCTTTATTTTCATAATACGTAGTATTTTATAGTGTATTTATTGGCTTTCTGTTTTAGTATTCAATATTGATTGATGTAGAATACTACGAGCCACTAATATAATGGATTTGCCAAATACAAACTTCTCGTGCACTACTAGGTCCCATCTTGACTAGTACTGGTCAATATAAATAAGTCTTTCTAATTTATAAGAACATCATGGACCATCACAACTCGATATTCTCCTTTGAGAGGAGGGCTTAACATCTTGCACGGCGACGGCGTCCATTAAAAAATTAAAGACTAGAGACTGATATTATAATTGGACAAGACTATAGGCACCATTAATGTTTAAATTTTAGTTACCTATATTTAATGCACCATTTGTATGTGAATTAGTTAAAAAAAACCATTAACCATTAAGCAAAGAAAATTTTTCAAGACTATTATTTCTCAATTTTTTTTAAAAAGTTTGGGAGTGATCCACAACCAAACGAATGAGGGAGAATAGGTTTACTTTTATTTTATGGTTCCAAAATCTCATCCATCATATCACAGATATAGATCCAGATCCACATCCTGTGTGTGACAGTGCAAGTAGATAGATAGATAGATAGATATAGAGAGAGAGAGAGAGAGAGATGAACATTAAGTAGAGGCGTTTGGAGGGAGCATTAAAGAACAATTGAGACAACTTTTGAAGAGCCCATGTGTTTACAATGTTTTTCAATTTTTTAACTTTCAGTCTCTCCATTTTGTGCATTCAAAATTACAAGACAATTTTAACTAATTCACATTTTCAATAAATTGGTTAATAACTTTTAAAATTAATATTCTATTCATATTTATCCTTATTTAGCAGGGAGTCTCAATCAGAAAAACTTCATTAATTAATTGCACCCATAGTTAAAAATTACAGGGACATGATTAAAAATCAGGTAAAACTATAAGGACTTGATTAAAAATAGGTGAAACTACATAAACCTGATAAAAAGAAAACATAATGAGAACCTGATTAAAAAATAAGTAAAATTATAGATACTTGCAGATTAATTATTCTCATTTAAAAATGTAATATAATTTTAATGGGAGGAGTATGACTTTTAAATGGACAGGACAGCTTATAGGACAACTTCAGTTCTATCAAATTCAAAAATCTTAAAACCAAATTTTTTTATGCATCAGTATCCAAGACATTCAGCGTCAGGGACACATACGCTATGCCTCAAATGCTCCCATTGGTGGTCTTATTAAGTTTTTGAAAATATTCTCCGTTAAATTTTTATACTATAATTTTTTACATTCTATTATCGGTTTCTAAATAAAATATGATAAATATTTAAATGTTAATCATAAAAAGCGTGTATATCATATAAAAGTTGAGCTCTGCATAATATAAGACACTATAGGGAATTCATATCCCTTTGGTCTTTATTCTCATCTCTGGTTATTTAAGATTTGGTTTTGGTGAAGTTACAATCTCATTCTGTTTTTTTTTCTTTCTGTGATTGGAAGCTACGGTTATATTTTCTTTCAGGTGTTCTTGCCTTGATCTTGTCTTGGTTCATAACTATGATCTATGTACTATAACGTTTTTACATTTCTATTATTAATTTCTAAATAAAATATGATAAATAGTTAAATGTTGATCATAAGAAGCGTGCATGTCATATAAAAAATTAAAGTAACTTTAAGTTTATTGATTTTATAGGTTTATTTTATTTAAATAGTCGAAGCTCAAATGTATATACATAATTAAAAAAATATCATAAACAAGCTATAAAATAATTACTCCCTATTAGTAATAGTTAAAATTGGTCAATGTGTTAACATGGTTAGCTGGATCTTCTTATTTTATAATCTCCCTGCAAAAGCACATGTCATGGGCATGACATATAGAAATATTATGTTCACACATCATCCTAAGCTGCTAGTGTCATTGTCGATGGAGTCACATTATATGTTAACAATTTACATTTGAGATAATGCCAATTACATTCAATGCATTTTCTATTTTTTCTATAATTTGGTTTCATATAACTGGCCACTAATTTAAATTTTAGAGAAAACTAATTTCATAGTCCTTGTAATTTTATCTGATTTTGATTAATGTCCTTATAGATTTTTTACTTTTTATTGAATCCTTATTATTTATTTTTGTTAATTATGCCAGTCCTTCCGTCAATGAAGCTTTTAGTATGGTTCATATTGTCTCCCTCGGTCAGCCCCACCCCTCGTGCCTCCTCTCCGGCTCCTCCAAAATGAACACCATTGTTTATCTCTCACTGTTCATCTGTTCATGTACTCTGTCTGGCTATCACTTTTTGGAGTTTTCTCGTTCTGCAACATTACATAAGGATCAGCAAAAGAGCAAAAAAATAAATAAAAAGACATAGTAAGGGCAGTGTTATGATCCCAAGACAAATGGGCCGTGAAAGTGACCCAATGGGGAGCCCAAGGCAGGAGCACGTGGTGGGGCAAGTTGAGGAAGATCCAGAGAACACGGCATGAAAGGCACAACGAGTAGGCAAAGATAAATATCGATGAGGTCATAGAGGAGGGGTTGTTGGTTGTTATGAACTCTCTCTCTCTCTGTGTAATATTCCCTCGTTCTTCGTGTGATTCTGTGATCCCCTTTCTGGCAGTCCTTTGTGACTGAGATTACCATTTCTGTCATTCTCTTCCGTATTGCACTGTAATCGAGCTTGCTTTTCATAGATATATATATACATATCCTTTGCTGAGTTAGATTTTCATATACGTTGCATTGGTGCTCTCGTTGAGAGAACCTACCCCAATGGCAGATGATTTTAATGATGCCGAGCTTGATGAGCTTGAAGACTCGATCGAACAATTTTCTGCTCTGATGCAACAAGTTTTTAACGGCCATTTAGACATCTTAGAAGCTTCTCTTTGCACTCTTATACAACAGATGGAAACGATGGCAGGAGCTATGGATGGCTTATCTCCATTTCCCAGGCTGACGAGCTTCGCCAACCACTCATGGACAACGACCTCAGCGAAGGACATCGACCAAGAGACTCCAGGGCGATCCGTATTTGCGACAGAAACAATCAAGCCTAAGGAACTTTATAGGTCGCATCTTCTCCATGAGGATTTTGTTCCACATTTAATATCAACCCCAACCAAGATGGTGGATACTGAAAATGAGGATGAAATGCTTAAGGATGAGATGGCAATAGATGATGATGCTGATGACCCAAACAAAGACGAGGTCAAACCGACCCTTACAATGGATGAGGTAGCAATGGGTTACTCATGTTCTACCGTAATTCAAATGTCAGAGGACGAGCGTTTTGGTGGGTTGTTGAGCCACTCTTATTCATTGTCATTGGCGCAACTGAGGGCTTGGCTTTCATATAAGCTTTTCCTTGATAAGGCTGACGATGTGCGTTCAGACTCTGTGATAGAGCCATCATTGCCACACTCTTCCTTCATGCTTGGTTTTGCTCTGTTTTACCATTCTAGAACTGTCGCTCCAAGCTGGCAGTTGATGGTCCACAATAGGGACACAGTTCATGCGTCATTTAAGATGCACCCCATGTGTTTGTCCAACTGTCGCATTAAGATGCCTATCCCATTTGCTAGTTTTCTGCCAATGTTTCCGTTCTTCATTTCCGTGTTTGACCCAGGAGATGGTAAAGGGTGTTTGCATTTTATTAATGATTTCTTTCATTTCTTAGCCAGTATAGTTGCTACGATTGTAGTTGCCATGCAACACTTTTCTGGTCTTCTTACCATATATAATCCATTAAATCCTAGACTTTGCTTCGGTGAATTTTGTGCATCAAGTGCGCATCTATTTGAAGCTCTTCAACTATATAAATCCTATAAATATGGACTGTATGCAAGGTTCGAGAAGGCTACAAATATGTTAAACCTAACCTATTTTATAGATGTTGCTCCGTTTGATATTGGTGGTGTGGCTTTGGGGAGGAAACAGTCCATCATAAAACCTTCTGTGGCCACCGTGGTTACTGTTATTACCCACCTTTCAAATGACACTATAGCTGAACTGAATTTGAATAGAAATCATAACTTGATTCTTGGGTCTTTTGCTACACTCTGTTGTAAAGCCACTTGCATATATCATGCTAATGGTGGAAAAGGAGAAAGTACTTGGGGTTTCACAATGGACTTGGTTGTTGCTGTTTCTAACAGATTGAGGACATGGGAAATGTTAGAGAAGAAAGTTCTTGTTATTGATCTCATATCATCTGAGGTCGAGCTGCTGTCCGTATCTGGATTTGCACTGAATATTTTACTTATGGAGCATGAATTTTATAAAAATTTGGCTGACAAAATAATGAATTCACATGATTCTATTAGTATGACAGTTAAATACATGTTAGAGGATGCTGAAACAGAGAATCCGTATGAGTTTTTAAGAGCAGAGTTAAATAGAGACAATCCTAATGTTGATACAGAGATTCGTGGCTGCAAGAACGAATGGGTAAAGCATCTTATCGAAGCTATTGGCTTGATTGCTATGTTTGAGAATATTCCAATGAATGCTAATGAGAATTATAATCTTGGGGACAGTGAGAGAGACAAGTATGATTTTGTCCTGCATTTGGAACTTCCCTTGGGAAATTTTTCTAAATGGGATATGAGATCAGTATCTACATCGGACTGCATTCTAACTATTTTATTCTATCAATACTCTTCCATTCACAGTATGGCATATAAGCTTCAATGGGTTCTAACAGATCTTACTGTCTTTGATGTTATGCTCATTATGGGGTGCAATTCAGACTACTATCATGGGAATAATACTGGTTTGGTTAGTTGGGTGACATTTGATCCAGGTATTCTTATTTTTCTTTTTGTGAATTGCAGATTACAAGCATTTCGATTTTGGTTTACTGTCCGAGAAAAGTTCTCATGGTGTGGAATCAATTTGAGTGAATTACTTATTGAGCAGCTCCAGTTTTTCATTGGTTGGTTTATTCAATTAATATTTGACGCTGGATCCACTATTACTAGTTCGTACTATATTTGCCACAACTATAAGGATCACAATGTTCATATGCATTTGAACCTGGTACAAATGACAAAGATTCTAGATTTTTTTGACTGGGTCTTACGAGCAAGGATCAATTACAGCTTGACACTTTCTAGCTTCAACTACGGTGCCCTTTATTTCAATGGTGGTTCTTGTCATAGGGAAAAGGGTATTGTTGTTCTCTTTGCACTTGTTGGCTCACTTCATTTGAGCATTTCAATTTTGGAAATGAACCCACTATCATGGAATCAATCTTCCATTACTTTTTCTTCTTTGATATTGGTGTTTGATCCTGGAAATGCTCCAAAGAGCTTGGTATTTAAATGATGTAGAGCCTGTGATTGATGTAATTGCCTTGGACACAATCATCGCCAAGACACTTTGGTTTCGTTTCGTTTCAAGTTTCCTCGTTGATACTGTATCTCCACCATATTTGATTAAATGGCTATATGCTATCCTTTTGAAACATTTTGCATCTGAAGGTTTTAAAGGGGGGCCTAAAATATTCAATAACTTGGATGCCCTTGCCATTATTATCTGTCCATGAAGATCCCATCGAGCAACTAGCGGCAATTGAACAATCATGCTTCATACACCATTAGGGGGCAATGGCTACAACAGTACTTAATTTGGTGGGATGGTTGTCCACATGCCACATGGGAAGATGATGAGGTACTCATGATATTGTACCGGCACCTCGACCTTGAGGACAAGGTATGTTCTAATGGAGGGGAGTAATGTTATGATCCCAAGACAAATGGGCCATCAAAGTGAGCCAATGGGGAGCCCAAGGCAGGAGCACGTGGTGGGCAAGTTGAGGAAGATCCAGAGAACACGGCATGAAAGGCACAAGGAGAAGGCAAAGATAAATATCGATGAGGTCATAGAGGAGGGGTTGTTGGTTGTTATGAACTCTCTCTCTCTGTGTAATATTCCCTCGTTCTTCCTGTGATTCTGTGATCCCCTTTTTGGCAGTCCTTTGTGACTAAGATTACCATTTCTTTCATTCTCTTCCGTATTGCACTGTAATCGAGCTTGCTTTTCATAGATATATATATATCCTTTGCTGAGTTAGATTTTCATATACGTTACAGGCAGAAACAAAGCAAGGAAGGAAAGAAGAGGGAATTCATCGCACCTTAACCATTGTAATTTTTTTTTTCTTTTTTTTTTTTGAGAGGAAGTGAAAGTGAGAATTGGGGGTGGTGAAGTTATATGAGGAGGGAGAAAGAATGATGAGGGTAGAAGGATTGGTTACGCAAGGACAGTGGGCAGTGGAAACTGGTAGCTAGGCAGTGCTTGAAGTTCGAGTGTTGAAGATGAAGCGGGTGAAATATGGCCCTTTTTGTATTGTTGAAATCAAGCAAAATACCATAGTGGGTGAAGCTTCTACAAGAGGAGAGGGGGAAGTTGAGGGAGGTGGTGGTCTGGCTAACTGAGAAAGACAGTGTGCTCAATCGCCACATTATCTACTGTAAGCCAAACTAACGGCTTCATTGATGGAAGGACTGGCATAATTAACAAAATAAATAATAAGAATTCAATAAACAGTAAAAGCTCTATAAGGGCCTCAATCAAAATTGGATGAAATTATGAGAACTATCAGATTAGTTTTCCCTAAATTTTATACTCAGCAACTTGCAATTAATTTTGATTGATTTAATTAAATAATAGCATATTTTAAATATTGCATAATAAAATAAATCATCTTTAGGTGACCCATGCTCATCAACGATATAAATTATTTACATCTCAAAGATGTCAAATATGATCGATATCATAAACTATTAAAGTCAAGGGTCCGCACCATATTATTTATTTAAATAAAAAATGCGGTGGTCATTTGATCCTTCTTTGTCAATTTTTACATTACAGTCTTGACTATCGTTGATTATTATATTTTACATTATTTATATCTTTAGAGAAGTTGCCACGTTTGCAAATTTTATCTCTTTTAAATTTCAATTTTAAAATTGAAATTTTCATTTTTTTTTTTAATGGCTGAGGAGGATTTTTGTGGACAATTATCATGAAATAACTAAATTGTAGAATAGTTTTCTAATAATCCTTAACAATGCATAGGTAACGACATACCTTATTGCATATACTCCAAACAAAAAATAAATAAATTTGACCAATAAATTTATATTTACCATTTGATTAATATATATTTTAATTTTCTCAAGTCAGAATGCATATTGTAGGAGTTCACTCCAAAAAGAATTGGCCAAAAAATCTTAAAAAATACGTGGTAAATTTGGATACAAGTACAAAGCAATATCCAACAAGTTAACTTTATTTGATTTACTTATGCGATGCGAAGTTATAGGCGCATTTAAGAAATAAAATCAGAGCTAGATTATTTAACTTTTACTATAAAAGTCATATTGGTTGAAAAAGACTTTCATGTTATAAATAAAGAAGAGATATAGAAGAATCATACAGAGGAAGAGAGCATCAACAAGAGAGAGTATTTCTCATTCCATTCAAGAGTGCTCAATACATTATACATAGCCTCTATTTATAGGCACAGCTTTACACCTTCGATAGAATCTACAGATTACATGATAATATGAGATAATTGAGGGATATAGAGATAATGAGAGATATTAGAAACTATAGGAGATAGTGGGAGATATATGGACATCCACAAAGATATTATTATATTCATAACACTCCCCCTTGGATGTCCAATATATATGAATGTGCCTCGTTAAAAAACTTCAACTAGCTAGGAAAAACCCTGTGGGATAAAAACCTAGCAAAAGAAAAAGAGTACATCATTCATTGATACACTATGCAGTGCTACCTCATTAAAAACCTTGCTAGGAAAACCCAGTGGGACAAAACCATAGACAAGGAAAAAAGAGTACTGCGTGTATCAACTCCCCCTCTTAGCAATGTCAGTTGACATCTTGGAGCCTGCAAAGTCTAATATAACGGACAACCCTTCCAAATATTGTAATAACGTAAAAATGTCAAATATGAATTTTATAATCTTTTGAAAATTATGAGACAAATAGTCCTTTTATGGTTTACCCACACGTAGATCATACTATAATTTCTTGACATGAGGATCAAACAAAAATACTTTATATCTATAGCCATTAAGATTAGTCTTGGGTACCTTCAAATAAAATAATATTACCTCCATGACACCCTTAAAGTAACGAAGAATATTTTTAATTCTATTCCAACATCTTCATGTTGATAAAAAACTACATTATGCTAATCAGCAAACGGTATATCATATTCTGTATGGCTAGATATATAAATGCTTCAGTGATACTAAGATATGGTACTTCTGGACCAAATGTTTATTCATTATGTTCTAGAGGTCTAAATCGATCTTTAGTCCATATCTAAAGATCTTGCAACTAATGAAACATATAATAGATGTTGCTCAACCACATAATAGATGTGACTTATCTATATGTATTATTCTGAAAGGTTTCGGTTCAAATTTTTTCCTTTAAGTAATTCACAACTATTGAAAACTCATCAGGAGTTCTGATATTATCATTATAAATAGTACTGATAACAAACTCATTTTGAATCTTTTCACAAATAGACAAGTTGGAATATGTTTACATCATTCCTTCAGTCAATATTAACCACATATGTCTCATATAGAGATTTACTTGCATAGTGTTCTTGAGAACATAATTGTATGCTTCTAGAAACTTAAATCCTTCAAGGATTTTCATACATTATGATCCATATCTATTCATATATTGCATTGTTTGAATTTATACAAGGATTTAAATCATTCAGGGAATCATACAAAATTTCACTATAAAGTGAGTCATACGTTATAGTTATGTATTTCTAAGACGCACATGAAAAAATTTCATTTATTACCAGACTGCCAGATTGATAAGACATGTAATTTAATCCACCACAAGACTTTATTTCTCTTTATATTGTACAAATGTCTATTTACATAATACTAGCATTACACTTCAAGTGCATAGGCCAGGGATACACAAATTCCTGTTACATTGCGTCTTTTCTTTTCTGTTGGCCAACCATTTTTCTGTCTGTATCTCATGATAGATTTATATATAAGATCCTCATTTGATCACATGATATCATCAATAAAATTATTGTCAACAATTTTATTCCTTTATCGGTCCCCTTTTCTTTTATGACATAACATATCGAGATCTCTTTATTGCTTTCAGACACTTAAACATCTTCAAGGGTCAAACAATTGTGTCTTAATCTCTTTTGCAATTCATGCCTCCTTAGTATGATCATCATGATCATTTGCTCCTTTTTCTTTTCTTTTGGAACCGATCATAATCTCATGCTTTTAGCATGTCTTCAAGAATAGGAGTACTTTTAGCTGGAATATAAGAATTAAGAATTCTCA